AATAATACCAGCAGAGACATTCAAAGACGCATTATGGCAGGGAATCGTGCCTACTTTGGACTCCGGAGGACGCTCCGGTTGAATAAAATTCGCCGCCGCACGAAGTTGGTGTTTTCGAACGGAAGGTGTTGCGTCCCATCAACGATGGAGTGCAGATGGATGACGGCACTCCTCCACGAATGAACCACGAATTGCTCCAGCTGCTGGGAGAACCATTCATCGTCCACCTTCAAAAACACGTCGTAAGAATGCCGGATGACGATCCAGTGAAAATGGTTCTCGAAAGCGACCCAATAGGAACGAGAAGACGAGGCATGCAGCGGGCAAGGTGGATCGACCAAGTAGTAGGTGACCTGCGGACCCTTCAGACTACGAGGCTGGTCATGGATCGACTTCTTCGGACAGCAGAGGACAACAAGGCCTTAGCCTGATTGGTAAGGTAAGGTAAGAAAAACAATGATGGTTTCTGTTCGCTCTAGTTCGTCATGCATAAGAGAATCAGATTTGAGTTATTGACAAAAGTTTTAGCTAATATCAAAACCAACAAAAGCTCCATGCATCATTTTTCTGTTGATGAAAAAAGTTAGTGGCATAAGAATGCAAATGTTTTTCCGTTTCATCTGTTTCTTTCATGGTGCAAATAGCAGCCATTGTGATAAAAGTTGAAGCATTTAACACCCGGAACACGATGCCCACGGTAAAATGTGTAACGGCAAATTGGCATCGCTTGAAAAACCATTGCTCAGCAATTTATCGATAGTTTTTTTTTTTAATCTTTCGATACCGAATAAATCTGTCAAGTAGTGTAGTGTCAAAACGGTGCAAATAAACTTTGCAAATTTTCCGTTACACATTTAACTGAAGGCATCGTGTTCGGTGTGTGAATTTAATTTATTATTATTCGTTCAAACTATAATTTAACAACTTTATCTTTTATTTTTTAATAATTGTAGTTTTCTGATTATTATATTTTTCAGCGTAGAATATAGAAGGTGAAAAACTATCCTTATCAATGGGGTATTCAACTCTGCACACCATAATCTGTGCCGCGAGATTTAGTTGTGCCGAGTGCTGAGACAAGCTCTTTGCCGAACGTACCGAAGTAGGCCAAAGTAGGCCGAAGTGTACCAATCATGACCCTGAAGTTATAATGACTTTTGTGATTGTCACCCCTATTCTGCATTTCGTTCGAAACGCAATTCCCATACAAAAAAAAATAATTTTTTGTATAGGAATATCGTTTCGAACGAAATACAGAATAGGGGTGTGTGTTTACATTTTCAATTTCCTTGATGGTTTATGGCATGGTTCATTTTCATTTGAACATGAGCGGGCAGTGGAAGAGTAACTCGATGCCATCCAACCTATACGGTGTTTACTGTTCCACAATAAAATCAGATCCAAAACTCGAACGGGCAAAATACTCTAGAAACAGCATCCTCGAACCAGTTCATCTGGTCGATTCAGAAGTACGTGACCTCGAAGATATCACCCAAGCCTATCGTGTCGCTGATAATGGTGTCTCTCTCCACCACCCAATTACACACGTTCAACCTTACCAAGTTCACGATCTTATGTAGTTGTGCTATCTTATGCAATGTACTACCAATGAAAACCAATGGGAAATGTACCAGCGATGAAAACCATCAAATCAGTGTCAGGAGGTGAAGGAGGAGTGAACGTTTATTTGCGAGATATCAATTGGTTAAAGCAACTGTTTACCAAAAATTTACGTCCATTTAAAAAGTGAGCATTGAAATATCTTCCCACTCCAGATCCGTCATTCTTCGGAAATTGTTTGTGATCCAGATAAGCTTCGCATTTGCAGTTCTACTGCAGACAAATCCCTGCGGTCGTTGTTGCTCATCTGCACGCCCATGAGCTCTTGGCGAACAGCAAGTTGCTTAGTTAGATTGAGCAAGAGCTTACTGGCCTTACAAGAACTCTACATCGGGGCCTCTTGAGAAAAAAAAAACTAGTTCAAGGACGATGACAGAGATGCATCTGCAAACTGGCCGGATCGTTGATGATGGGTATGTGCTTGTTGTCGGATTCACGGAATGGAATGTAATTGCATTGATCCGTTCCTATTAATCCTATACTATTTCGTTAAGGCAACCGTACTTCTATGGACATGAATTATATAAAGTCTATAAAGTCCTGTGGATTTTCCATCGAACTGCATACCCAATTGAAACCAATGGCTGGCAAGAATATCTGAAGAAATACGCAGGGGGAACGATAAAATTTCCATCCCGGAAGACCCTTGGCAATATCGGGATTTGAACCTGCAATCGGATGAGATTTGTTGGTTTTGGGTAGACTTATGGCGCAGAAATTACTTGCAGATCTTTAGATCTTTTCGAGCTAATTGTGAAGCCCTGTGGAGTCAATAAAGCAGTCAACCTTAGCAACGAATGGTAAAACGTAAACACTTGACAATGATGCCCAGGGATGGAAAATCATTTACATTCATTTCGTGCATTCATTTACATTCATTTGTCTCTAACTTTTTTGTCAACAGTATACCGTTAAATGATGTATGAAGCTTTTGTAGCTTTTGATATTAACTACAACTTTTGTAAATAACTAAAATCTGCATCACTTATACATGACGAAATAGAGCTGGCAGAACATGTTATTGTTTTGCAGTGAATGCAATTTACATTCACTGAAAAACAATGGTGGGTTCTTTTCGCTCTGATTCATAACGCATAAGAGATACAGATTTGAGTTGTTTACAAAAGATGTAGCTAATATCAAAGTCTACAAAAGCTTCAAACACCCTTTATTTTGGAATTCTGTTGATGAAAAAATTTAGAGGCAAATGAATGTAAATGAATGCACGAAATGAATGTAAATGATTTTCCATCCCTGGTGATGCCGTTTTATGTTAAATTGTTTGTGTCCTGCTTGTCAACGTGCGTTCGAGCGTGCCGAACAGTGCGCCATGATATGTTTCGGCACAGTGTGTAGAGTTGATTACCCCTTGATCCTTATATAAATGAAACTTTTATTTAATCCTGCTAAGACTACCCAAGTAACCACCAAGTCCACTAACTACCCGATTATCGTCCTTTTTGCGATATAAGGTAAATATAGGGTTTCTGAATTTTATATCAGTCGTATAGCAGCCTTATATAGCAAAAAGGGCGATTAACGGGCTTGTTGGTTACTTGGGTATACCTTAAAGTACATTTTTTACATTATTAAACAAATGCTCAGCTTTAAATAGTGCCTTGATTATAAAGTTGTTTTGCACTTCACTTATTGTTTTACCCAACATCGCATATTAAAAAAATCTTTAAAAACCAATAAATCATTCGTTGAAGTCCTGGAAAATTCGGGAAAACGCAGGTAAGGTCTGTATCCACATTAATCCGGACATTGTCAAATCACTGTAACGTTTGAAATATTGCACGTAGAAGTGAAAAATTTCGCTGAGGTATAGCTGGGAGTCATTGATGAAAAAGACTATGATTGGTGTTTACTTTCCATGTTTAGTGTTCAGGATGGCGACGAATGAAAAACACGTGCGCGAGCGGATTGCTGATCCACTGTTCACGGTGTGCTCAAATCATTTTCGGAACGTTTGACGTTGGTCGAGAGGAAACCGAGAAGTGATAAAACCATTGGACGTGCTGATCCTGTCATGGACCGAAAGGTGAAGAGGATATTGAAGGAAATCCCGAATCTCTCTGTTCGAACGGTGGCTCGTAAAATAGGAATGTCACCTGGTTTTGTCCAAAATTCAAAACAGCGTTTTGGGGCAGAAGTCTTATAAAGTAAAAACAGTCCCAAATCGCAACGACAAACAGAATTTGACATCAAAATCACGGGCTCGACGTTTGTACTGCGAATATTTGACGAAGTTTTCCAGTTTTCAAGCTTCCAGGACTGGCTTTTTATTCTGCTAAGGGCCAAAAATGCTACTGCTGAGTATTTCAGGACGAAGAAGGCATCCCAAAAAATACCTTATTTGGCAAGCAATTTGGACGTGTGGCCGAATCAACAAAGAGATTTGCCAGAAAGAGTGCCACAAAGAAAACCCTTTGTTCTGGCACGATTTGGCACCAAGCCATTATGCTAAAACTGTGATGGAGTGGTACGAAGCAAATCAAGTGAATATTGTACCAAACACCGCAAATCCGCCAAATTGTTCAGAGTTACATCTAATCGAGAGATATTGGGCTCTGATGAAGCGGAAGGTTTCTAGAAAGAAACAAGGAATCAAAGATATCAAATACTTCCAACAAACTTGGACAAAGACGGCCACCACGGTATCCGGCAGGTCTGTACAAACCCTTATGGATGGAGTTAAGCGCAAAGTTCGAAAATTTTATGCAAATACCGAATAACTTTGTTTTGACTTCGTGAATTGTTAAATCATCCTACCATGAATCTGAAATAAACAACTACAATTGAAATATAATGCGAAATTTGTGTTTTACTTAAGTTTTGATGTTTCCGGATTATTGTGGATGCAGACCTTAATTTTGTTTAGCAAAAGGAGAAGGAGATTTTAGCATAAATTCTAGAGACAACAACAAGGTATGTCAAAGAAAAAATCTAAAGGAGTTTTTGGAAGAGCTTTTAGAGAGAACTGCTGTTCTTCGAACATTGATCGTGGGATATAAAAAGGGTAAGGTTAAGGTGTTTCTTATGATGTTTTTCAAGTTGGTCGTCAAATCTGTCAATGTCTAGCTTTTTTAGTTGTGTTATATAATTTGCATTCATTCATTTTCATGCTTCATTATTTCCTAATTAATTTTAGTTCTTGTTAATACATGGCATCATTACTGATTTACTAATGATGCCCTTATCGAAGACTACTTATCAGGAGAAATGGCTGCACTGCCACTGTCTGTTCGATGTGCAGTCTTCGATATAACTGGGCCCTGAATGAAATGTAAAAAGGGATCAATTCGTTCAAAAATAAAACAATCAAGCGAATCAATCTAAATGAATGGCTCCTCTTTCTCCCTAACTCTTTTTTTCAGTGAACAATTTGGTAACCGATTTAACTGTGATCCATTAGCCATATCATATCATAGTAGAGATATTGATGATACCATAGCCGAAGAAGAGGAACCACTGGAGGACGAGGAAGAGGATGTTGATAATGATGACAAGGTGGAGTACGTGACCGAGAACGGAAACGGTCTCGCATCGCTCGCGGGAAGATCAGCAGCGAAGGCAGAAACGGGAGGAGGGGGAGACCAGCTCGAGGCCAGTTCTCGGGATAGTCGCAGTGCCAGCAGGATTCGGGAGTTGGGCCCAAGCGGTACCAACGGTCGGGGTAAATCGCGAAGTGTCAGTCCCGGCAACCATGGTGTAGCACAAAACAGAAGGAGGAGAAGCGGTAGCAGTGAGGTAATTGGTAGTATGCAACGGCATGACTACGTGAACAGTGGAGTCATGTTCGAAGATGGTACCCCCGGTGGTGGTAGCAGCAGTAGTGGTAGTGGTGTCAGATTCGGCGGTTCTGCGCAGGCGATTCTACCGCCACCGCAAAAGAAGCAAAAGTCCTACAATAGACAACTGTTGATCGATTTAGACTCGGATCCCTACGGGAAGGAGTTTGATGCGATCAGTACCGATAGAAGCAGAATTTCGGCAGCAGGTAGTAGAACCAACGGACGCGCCGTTTCCTCAAAGTGGCAGCAGCAACCGGACGGTAGAAAAGAGTCCGTTCCGCCTCGGTTGAGGAACGGATTCGTCGACAATGCTGTTGCATGGTCCCCGCTAACGGGATCAATGGGTGACGATTCAGGGAACAAGACGCCGTTCGCGAAGAATCCATAAAAAAAAAGTATAACAAATGTTAAACAGTTCCGGGTGTTCGCCGGTAGATGGCGACACGCAAAAACAAGCAACAAACAGTTCCAACGAGCTCGACCGGCGGAAGGTGACGGCGAACTCAAAACTATAAAATGATACAGGCTAGCCTTAGGCACACTCGCATTGATGCGCCATAGACAGCAAAGAAAGTAAACACAAGAGTATTCAAAATGGGAATGAAAATCCTTTTTTTAACCAGTTTAAATTTTAGAAAGCATCCAACATACTCACTCACAAGTCACAAACAAACACATACTACAATCACACACTCACACAAACACCTCCAAAAAAAACGAAACTGCACTAACACTTAGATAGGTAACCCCTTTGTCGTCGTTTTGTTTTTGTTTTAAGATTGGTTCAATATTTAGGATTACCACGCAGCAATACCGCACACACACACACAAACACAAACACATACATTCAACCAAAAGAGGCTAAAACAAACCATGAATAATTGAAAAAAAAATGTAATAAAAACGAGCTCACTGATTCTCCTTCTAACACAAGCCACCCGCCTTCTATCCTGCTCTTTTCTTTCCGTTTACTCTCGCACATACTCACACAGACACATACAAAAAAACGCGAACCCCTCGGCTCCTATTTATCTATTATTATTATGATTATTATTATTATCATTATTATTATTATTACTACAACAATTATTATTATTATTAACACATTACTTCAGGTGTGCTTAGAAACAAACAATAGGCAGGACGCTCCTTTTGACATTCGAAAGATTTCCAATCCAGGCAGATAAATTACTATTTATTTACCCTATTTCTTTTTCGTTTCTGATATCCGATAGTGGTTGTATTTATTGAAAAGATGCGCGTGGAAAACATTCACCCTGCAACTGCACCGCAAAAAGTTGCGCATGAATAGTAGTATATGTAGGTACTATCGATCTATTTTTTTTTTTCTTCTTCTTTCTGATCGAAACAAAGCAAACACAGACTGACAGACAGCTAAAGCAATATAGAGAGGTATCATATGTTTTATTTAGTTTTTTTGCTCGTTCGATTTTTGTTTGTTTGTTTTAATTTACATCCCACCAGCAACTGAGCAAAAGCAACATACGAGAAACACGTTAGAGGAAATGTAGAAAGAACAACAATCATTTATTTAACAAAACAAACACAAACAGCAAGAAGACGGCACCATTATAAATGTCTTCTAGTTTATAGGTTAAGTTCGGATGCGAATAGAGCAGGTGTGTGTGTGTGACAGCAAGCGAGAGAGAGAGATTAACAGAGTTGATTTGGCGTTTACTAGGTTGTAGAAAATAAGTTAAGAGAAAGAGAGAAATCAATTGTAGCTAGCGAAAAATGTATAAATATACCTACCAACCAACTGGCAACCAGATTCATAGGCAAAAGGAACATTGGAACAAGCATAGTAAACGAAATGAGAGGTAAAGAAATGAGAGTAAGTTTAATAGAAGCAGACAAACAAAGACACACACAACACAGAGATATGACCAGTGGTGCGATCTAACTGAAGTGGATTGCGTTGCCTTTCAGGTAAGAGGGCGTATCACGAAGACTGGGAACTCTTTTGAGGTTGGCATCCGCGCTATCCAACTCGTTCGCACCTGGCACCTTTGAGCGGTAGATGATGTTCAGACATTTCCAATCGAACCGTCAAAATGCACCGTTTTACTCGATTGGAACAACTTTTTTTCAACATGTTACAAGGTTTTCTTGATGGCATATTTCTTGTTGGCAATTATTATAACGTGTTGTAAGGGCTCTACTGTCGGTGACATAATTGTCCCGTGTGTACTTCACAGTACATGGTACACCAGCAGTTTAATGTCATTACCCGAGCAAAGCTGGAGATCGAATTGAAATCAAAATTTGCTGTTATGATGTAACTTATTTTGAAGACTCCAGTCAATCTCATTTTGGTTGACTTAACGGTTAACACACAGTGATACAAAATATCATGACACTCGTCTACGCATCAACCGACTATCACTGACAGAACGTTTTGTCACGCAGTGAGAGATAGAGCCATGGCAAACAACAATCACCAGTAATGGTCGCTGCTCACAAGCAAAACGTTACACTCGCTGCTGATGATGGTGAAAAGCACAACGAAAACAGTGAAGACTTCTGCAGTACGATCATGAGAAAAAGCGAAATGACAGAAGAAAATGAAAACAATGCTTACGCAGTCCAAGTTCGTCTCGGCAGGCGCGACTGTGTGAGTTACAAACAAAGCAGGCAACATGAAACGGAAGCTGTTGGGCTCACTCACCAACACACTCACACATGCAAGCAAAGCAGCAACTGCTTCAAAACGAGCACAGATGAGCGTCGGGATTGTCGGGAATGACCAGATCGGTGATGGATCACAACCGAAGACGACATTCACAAGTTGCTTTTTACTTCTTTCGTCAACTTGATGGATGGTCATGGAGAGAGCTTCGACGACGAATGTACAAAGCGTTACTACCATCAGCTGTTTTTTTTTTCCTTTGGTTTGTTTTTTTCCGTCGATCTTGTTTTCCGTTCTGAGCACCAATGCTACCGACGTGCCAGGAAGGCAGCTCCCACACCTGGACCCTACCTATCGACCCATCAACTCATGAACCGGGGACCAACGGCTTTACTTCCCATCCGAAGGAAGGCGTGATCAGAGATGTTATGCCTCAGAACATCCCAGCGGCGCCGACTGGGATTGAACCCAGGCCTGCTGGGGTGAGAGGTAATCACGCTTACCACTACACCACCGGCGCCGTTGCCATCAGCTGTTTGACGATCGTGATTGTGATAGGTCGCAGCTCTGTTAACACAGCAAAAATGATAGCAAATTTTTACACAGTTGAATCAAACGGAAAACAAATCCTGCCTTCAATGAAATCAATTGGATTGCTGATTTTGCATTCATAATATTTAACTGAATACGAGCCTGGCGTAAATCGATAGCATTCCTGCTTCTTACGCTGAAAGGCGTTCAAATCTCAACCCGGAAAAATCACCAATAACCTAAAATGTGTTAAACAAAACAAATTAACAATGATTTCGGACTGATTTGAGATTCGGGTGTAACTGTTTCTGTAAACAATAACAACAACCAGTGTTGGCAAAATCAGAAATCAATTGATATTTTTCCACTCTCATGCGCTCGCAATATCACGCTTGATATTGGAACAAAATATCATGCTTGATATTGATTTTACATGCTCCTTTAATATTGCGAGACTATTCACAACGTGCAAAAATCAAGCTGAGAGTTGACTCGACACAAAAATGATTCCATTGCACATCGTTTTCTTAGAAAGAGAAAGCATAGTTTGCTATCTCTTTTTAATCTTCACGCGAAGGGACTGCTGTAAGCCGTTATGGAAGTTTCGGTTGCATTCGGGTGTAAAGCAAAAATCATTAAACTCAATCTCACCACAATGTTAGCTTGATATTCCGAGCTGTGATATCACAGCTTGCAAAATCAACCGCAGTAGTTTGCTTGTTGATTTTTGTCTACGAAAATCAAGCGTGATCTTGGGCGTTGGTGAGTTTCGATTTTTTGATATTTTCCCAACACTGACAACAACCAATGATTTTTCGCGAATGAAAGCTCAATCTTGCAAACTAAAAAGACAATCAGGTAGGAGAGTGATTCCTCTAGCAGTAGGGATAGTCTGTTTCCGATTTCGAGCTTTTATTCGCGAGAAATCGGTGATTGAAGCCATTTTTCACAAAAACAGTTACACCCAAATCTCATATCAGGCCAATTGTTAGTTTAACGACAGATGAACTTAAATTATAATAAATTTTCCACAAGACGTTAACAGCAGAACATGAAGTTAAATTGCTTTCATAAAAAAAAAAAACTCTTGACTGCATAATAAAAGAACAATATGCTATCAGACTTATGCCGCGATATTTCATTTTGCTAGGCCGTTTGCAATGCTGTTGTATTTTATATGGACTGTTTCAATTTGAAACTAGAACAGAAACGCACCCCTCGCAATGCTGAGTTGCAGTTTCATCATTCGAGCACTATGTTGCACCAGATTTGCAACTGCTCGCGGGCTTGAAACACGAATGGAACTCTGTTTCAAATTTCTGTATTTATAGCTGTTTTATCGTAAATTTTCAGAAAACCTCTAATAGTTGAGAGGATTTAATAAAAATTTACGAAGAGCTTCACACAAAAGTAAGAGGTTGTATCCAAGACACGACCGTACATTGGACGTAGAATTACGTGCTCGGTATCAATATTCGACGACTGTGTTAGGGAAATCACTTTTTTCCATCACAGAAACGCCTCGTTTTCTGATGATAAAATTACGCATTTTCGTGCACAAAACGCACGGAATTTTGGGTTTATTCAATAGATAATAAAAAAAAAAAAAAATCGAAAACTGATTGGAGGAATTTTTTGCTGAAATTTTCCATTCGCGAGATATTCGGGATCAATCATATAAATTCCCTCCCTTAGCTCAGTCGGTAAAGGCGCAGCTACAAAGCAAGACCATGCTGGAGGTGGCTGGGTTCAATTCCCGGTTCGGTGTAGGAATTTTTCGGGTTGGAAAATTTCTCGACTTTCCTGGGCATAGAGTATCATTGTGCTTGCCACACAATTATACTAATGCAAAAATGGTACAGACATCGAAAGCTCTCAATTAATAACTATGGAAGTGCACGCAATAAGCTAATTTGCGATATGCAATAAGCTTGAAATGCGAAGAAGAAGAAGAAGATATAAATTCGAGATTTTTACACTTTTTTTTCTGGAGAAAACCTTACCTTAATTCGACGTGTTTCTGGTTAATTGACAAGGTCATATGGTATTCGGTCATTGCGAGAATTTGTACGTACCTCTTCAATACTGTTACGCATATGACCACAAACGTTTGATTGCTGGGTACATTATCAAAGAGCTTTGGGAGGTGATGTGGCTGGCAGCAATGCGAGCGAACGTCCAACGAAAATTAACTCTCAAACAACAATGATTTTTGGTGTTCCTGAAAATAACCGTTTTGTCGTGATGGTGCAGTAATGCTGCGCTATTAGGGTGTTCAACAGAGATGAGGCTGGCGAGCTGTATGTTGTTTGGAACGAGGGTGACGCGCTTGGCATAGATGGCCCACAGCGACGCACGAAGAGCTACTGAATCCGATCAGTAGCGGTGCGGCTTCTTCCTCTTTCTTTGATGAATGGTCGCTCATGTGGGCTGCAGCACTGCTGCTGTTGCTGCTGCTGTTGCTGTTGATGACGACCGATCGGACGTCACCACACACGGTGATTTAATAAGCAGCGTTCAGCGAGACCGGATGGAATTCGATTTCGAAATCTGTGTTAGGGAAAACGCTTTTCGTAGGCAATCGCTGATAATTTTGATCACCATTGTAACAGTTGGACATTTGTTTAATTTTCAATAGTGACCTTTTGAAAATTGATAGTGTTCATTTTAGCAGATTCGTGGATTGTTTAGAATTAAAATTCATCCGCTATTGACAGAGTTATAAGTGGTCAAAACCTGACCATTTTTCGTAACTCGGCCGATTTTGATTTTTTTCAAATTCCACCACCAATATGTTGCCGAAAAATGTAATCCTACGTCAAAAATCAGAGATCTTCATAGAGAACAGTAAACTTCATTGAACTTGTATTTTAAAAAAATTCTCGGAGTACCATTGAAGTTTAGGTGATTTCTTAGAAGAGCATATTATAGAGTTTCATGGAAATGCATAGATCTTCACATAATTTTATGAAAGCGCTTGCGTCTTTTACATCAAACAGATATTCTCTCATATGATACCACTCTGCTCAGAAAATGATCTTGGGGTGTTCTAAGATCTCCATGAAGTCCTCTTGATTTCTTTTTTCAAGACTTCAGGTAGATCAGGTATTATTCTTAAGATCTTCAACTATCCAACAATTCAAATCACGTTTATCAGATGTTCTCTCATGATACCAGGTAGCTCAGAAATTATTCCGAAGACCATCAGGTGATCAGATATCCCCATGATCAGGTATCATTCCAAAGACCTTCATGTGTTTAAGATTCCCCTAAAATCCTCTGGAATCCTTTTTCGAGATTTCAGGTTGATTAGGTACTATTCTGAAGATCTCAAACTGTCCAACAATGCAAATCACATCTTTTAGATATTCTCTCATGATACCAGGTGACTGAGAAAATATTCCAAAGACCTTCGGGTGATCAGAGACCTCCAAAAACTTCTCATGATACATTTTCAAGTCTTCTGGTTTCGCACAGAACAATTACATCGTAGCAACGATTCGATAAATCATCGGCAACACCAGAATTCATTCCACCGGCGTTTTGGTAGAAGATCACGACGTCCTGCTTGCGGCAAGGAATCGATCGACTGTTCTCCCTGGAAATCACAGATGCATACATCAGGCAATAACTGACCATCATCAAGTCTGATTGAATACTCGCCATATTTAGCGAGTGGATTGGAAGACCCCCTCTCCACAACCGACAGCAGGACTATGACGTACAAAGGCTACTGATGGCAGGACTGAGACGGAGGGATTGGGGGCTTCCTACTGCGCGTTCCGGGTTCCCAGCATCATCGCAATGACTAACATAGGTCGAATTGCTGAAAATTTGATCGGCATCAGGCAGTGAACAGTCTATATATTGATTGTACTTCAGAGTTGGTTGGAAATGCCAACATGAAGCTTTAGTGTGATAAAGGGAGAAGCAACACAATAGTTGGGTAAAGAAGAATTGCATTATAACACACCATCGACTGGAAATGCTCTCGCAACGTGGGGCTTTAGGTAGTGATGAAACCTCGCTAGAACTATTCCACAACCGCAGTCAGTAATGAGCAAAAGGCGGACGCACATCTTTTGCCTGTAGACTTGAAGACATACTTCAAATCTCCGCGTACATCGTACGGGTTAGGCAAAAGGTGTGCGTTCGACTTTGTACTGTCGCATTAATGGCCCTACGCTCATTTTTAACTTCTATTCAATGTTCATACTGCTGTACGTTATCGGAACTATCCACCTACCCTCTTCTAAAGATCATTCTCTAGCTAATAAATTATCACACTAAAGCTTCATGTTAGCATTTCCAACCAACTCTGGAGTGGTTGGAGGAACCAGGAGCTTCCAAGCAGTGTCAGAAGTGCTTCTCAACTGGAAACAGCCGGCAGATGCTTGAGGCGTTGCACTGGAAGCTAATCAGGAAAATTACAGTAAATAATGTATGCATACTTGCCACCGAACTCGGCCGCAGTTCCAAAACGACGCTGATGGCAGGAAATAGAACGACTTTGATGGCGGGAAACAGCTAGCGCGACTGAATCGAGTAGTTCGAGATCTCCCATAATGCGACAGGCAGTGCGTTCTGGTTTACAGCGTTCCAATTCACAACGCGGCATCCAATTCTGAATCAGCATACTGGGTCTAGTCCGGAGAAGGGAGTTGAGAACTCGGAAGCAGTGTCTGTTTTATCATTTCAGTGCCAACATTTCAAAGGGGCGTAATTGCTTTTGTAAACAATGACTTTAGCCTTCAATTTCCCGTGAATGAAATCTTACCTCTCCAAAATTACAATGCTAGCTGGTAGAGGAAACATTCCTCTACCTTTTTTTTTTTTTTTTGTCTTTATTTTAGAGATTTTTAGCCTGAGGCTAGTTCATCTCTTCATTCCTCTACCTGCTGGTGTCATTATTTTTTTATGAGTGAGCTTTTATTCGCAAGAAATCGACGGCTAAAGCCATTGTTTACAAATGCAATTACGCCCCTTTGAAATGTTGGCACTGATTTACCATCTTACGCAAGGAGTAGCGCTTCAACCCAGTGTAGATGAATTGCGTTTGTTTTGAAAATCTTCACTGTTACGTACGAGCGAAATGAACAAATGAGTTCATTATACATCAACAAATACGCGTGATATTCTCCAGTGCTTGATTATCCAACCCAAAGTTGTCAAAATCAGAAATGATCCTTAACAGCAAAATAATCAAATTCATTTTGGGCAAAATGATTATTTTGAACTTTGTCAACTCCAGAGCCTAAAACCGCGATTTCATCATCAGTTCAACATGAGGCAATTATTTGCCACACGTCCTTCAGTGCTATATTTGTGTAAAATGAAAATAATCATTTTGCATTTGATCCTCAAAACCATCCCCACCAAGATGAAGACGAATATTAATATTGACAACAACGGAGGCGATAATGAACATCCAGCCACGAATGAAGCAAAACAAATGTTGGCTAAGATACTCAGAGGTTGCCTTGATCAAGGGAATTTTGTTATGTCAAAATTCAGATTCATGCAAAGTAGTTGGTCTATCTGTTAAGGTTGTCTTCATTTTCAGCTAAGTTGAGTGTAGAAGGGATGATTTTTATCAGCACTGCTCGGAAGGTCCCGGAACAGGAGAGATCGTGATGGGAGGCATGCTCAAACGAGGCATCCACAGGTTTTTTGAACCGTCTACAAATTCACGGAACAAAATTCCTTTCGGCCATGTATCCGATGTAAGAGCAACGTAGTTTGGGAGCCAATCCGACTTTGTACGAGAAGAAGCTCATACGGCTGATGTCGGATCCTTTTTTAACTAGCGGCACAACCTTAATCGGATCATTGCACTGTACACAACCTTTGGCCAGCTTCTTGATTGGTTCCGTATTCACGCTAGGATGTATACGAGAAAGCACAGCCAAAACAGCTCGGTGGGTTCAGGGACAGTAAGGACCACAGTACAGACATTGTCATCCGTTACTGCTTTAGTACCACACCAACAAGTGGTTCGCTGGTGAGCGAGCCTTCATCGCGGCGCCGTTTTAATGGCGGTTGACGCATAAGATCTCCGGAATCCAAGTGTGTTGCAGTTGTCAATGCGATTCGCTTCGACAGCTGAGCGATCTGCTGTCCTTGCTTAGCCAGTTTCTTCCTAAGCTCAGCGGGTGCGATTTTCTGTCTCTCGATGCGATGATAGAATTAATCGCACTACCAAACGACGAAACAGCAGTTTTGAACCGAGCACATTTCATCAGCTTCGCGCCCTCGTTGCGCATCCAAAACTAGTGTGGACAATATTCAGAAAAGCCTTGTTCAACTTTGTGCCACCGCATTTCAGGTGCAGGAGACGGATTCTGGTTTAGCACATTGGTCACAGGCGGAAGTCATGCTGACTCAGTTTCCAAAAATAATTTAGAAACAGCGGTGGAGATGCTCTAATACGCAAGGAGGAGTTGGACTCTGCAGAGCGTCTGATATCGACAATAACACAACAGTAAACACTACAAGATGTCCGATTGGATAACTTTTTCACTGTTTTTACAACACGAAATATGCTGCAAATAGACGATTATCGCAACGAACTGCACTTTCCACTAACAACCGGTACAATTTTGCAAGTCTACACAACGGGAAAAACGAAGAACGATAGCCCGTGCGATAACAAATCATCAAATTTAGCAATGCAAAATCACGACGATGTGAATAACAACAACAATGCAACAGTGAGTGACATGCATAAGGGCGTAAACGCGATGATCGATTCTCTTCGTCGATTTTCTCCCTTGTTAATAATTCACTAGAATTATCGTTTCTCGGTGCGTTTACTGTAGAAACACTGGAATAAGAGACCAGCGAATTTGACAACAAGATAAACATCAAAGCAATCCTGGCATCACTTGCATTTGTAACTGCTTGCGAGTGACTTCGCCAATGAACCGACGGGCGAGTTCATGAGTGATTGTTAAACGATTTTAATACTCCTCCCTAATCGAAGCAAACCATTTGTAAACATTGCAGATTGGAACCGCTTTTGACAGTTCGATTGAAATCATAACAGTGTCTCCGCTGGTCTCTTATTCCAGTGTTTCTAGTTTACTGTTGCTTTTGATAGCCAATACAACCTGTTACAACTCTACATTGAACGAGTTCTAGAAAATCGATGAAGAGAATCGATCATCGCGTATACGCCCTTATGTATGCTCACTGTCGAATTGTTGCTGCCTTATAGATTTGTGGTTCGAAAGCTTACTCCAAATTATAGGCGGATGGGATGTGATTGGATTGATTCTTTCGATGCACTAAATATGGTATTCAAGAACCTCCAGCGTCCGAATAGTTAGATGTCCCAAAAAAATCGAAACAATTTCAAACTTTCCATAGAATCGTGATGTCTTTTGGATGCCTTAAAAAATAGTAGTTCCAGGCAGGGAATATCATTTACATTAATTTGCCTCTATATTTTTCCATGAACAGAAATCGGTAAAATTATGTATGAAGCTTTTGTAGGTTTTGATATTCGGTACATCTTTTGAGAATAACTCAAATCAGTATCTCGTATGCATGACGAACTAGAACGGGCAGAACTTGTTATTGTTTTTCAGTGAATGTAAATTACTTTAACTGAAAAACAATAACAAGTTCTGCCCACTCGAGTTCGTCATGCATACGAGATAAAGATTTGAGTTATTCACAAAAGTTGTTTCAAACTTAAAAACCTACAAATGCTAGATACATAATTTTACGGAACTCTGTCTATAATTAAAGTTAGAGGCAAATGATTTTCCATGCCTGGATAGTTCCAATTTTTGCTATTTAACCTGGCCATAGATTATGTTGAAACAATTGTTGTACTTTTTTAAAAATACTTCAGACTCTTTATGGAAGTAATCCTAGTTTTATGGAGCTTTGAAAGCGTTCTCAAGTTTCTAGAAAAATTGTACCTTAGTACACTTATTGTTAAGGTAAGGTCCCTTACTACGACCGCGAGTTTTTACGAACCTCAAGCAGTGTTGCAAATGGTCATTACAGCTGGAATGCTACTTTTCAAAATTATGTAAATAACAATCATAATTTTTATATGTAAGAGCAGGTAAAGTTTGTTTTATGACACATACAACCTGTCAAATTTACTTTCAGAGGGTCATAATTCTAGATAGAGCTGGAATTAGGGCGTAACAGCTTTTGTAAACAATGACTTCTATCGATGATTTCTACGAATTCAAAGCACACCCACGCAGACTAACATAACCATCGAATAGGGAAAGTCTTTTCCTATCCGATGAGGATGTTGGTTTGCTTGGGTGAGCCTTGAATTTCAAGAAATCATCAAGAAAAGTCATTGTTTACAAAAGCTGTTAGGCCCTAATTCCAGCTCTATCTATAATTAGCGATTTTAGCTGTAATGAGTAATCGCGATGAGTGAGCGCTCATCGTTATAGGTAATCGCTAATTGAAACACTCTGCAAGCAAAATTGACAGGTTTTACACAAACATTACCTTCTCTTCCTACATCTTTCAAACAAAAATAGCGTTCGGAAAACTCAACACTCGTGAGTGAGTTTATGCGCCTATGATTTTTGCCTTTCAAAATTCAACAGTGCAAAAATCATGGATGAGTTTTCAAGTTCAAAAATTCAAGGGTTTATAAGACGCTATTCATTGTTATAGCTATTGCTTTTAGCATTACGATATGTAAATCTAACACGAAATGCATAAGCCTGCTATTCAGAGATGCAAAATATCATGACACTCACTCGTCAACGCATCATCCGACTATCGCTGACAGAACGTTTTGTCAAGCAGTGAGAGGTAGAGCCATGGCAACCAACAATCACCAGTAATGGTCGCTGCTCACAAGCAAAACGTTACACTCGCTGCTTATGATGAAAAGCAGAATGAAAACAGTGAAGACTTCTGCAGTACGATCATGAGAAAAAGCGAAACGACAGAAGAAAATGAAAACAATGCCTTCGCACGCAGTCCAAGTTCGTCTCGGCAGGCGCGACTGTGTGAGTTACAAACAAAGCAGGCAACCTGAAACGGAAGCTGTTGGGCTCACTCACCAACACGCTCACATAAGCAAGCAAAGCAGCAACTGCTTCAAAACGAGCACAGATGAGTGTCGTGACTGTCGGGAATGACCAGATCGGTGATGGATCACAACCGAAGACGACATTCACCAGTTGCTTTTTACTTCTTTCGTCAACTTGGTGGATGGTCATGTAGAGAGCTTCGACGAGCACATTGATAGGAATGTACTAAGCGTTACTACCATCAGCTGTTTGACGATCGTGATTGTGATAGGTTGCAACCATGCTGCTATCAATTGATGTTTAAGCTCTCGGTGTTTTATGCTGAAATATTTTTTCGTCGATGTGAGTGTGAGTGCGTGAATACGGATGATGGATGATAATCTCAAGCATGAGTTTTGATTGCCATTTTCACACGCAAATGTATTCTCCCAGAGAGTCTCAATGAATGAGATTTGATAATGATTTTCCGAACACTAGTTCTTCGATTGTTACAGCGGAGTTGCTGTGATTCATAAATAGATTGCAACGGTGTGCGCTTTAATGTTTGAACATCAAGGGTCTTAAAACTACATAATGCGTGATTCGCAAAACAAAAAAGAAATTGAAAAACTATCCTACACCTCATTTGAGAACCTAATTCTCAAAAGTATACGTACCTATTCTTTAAATATGTCCTCCAAAACATATTTTGACTCCATCTGCACTGAAAGCAGCACGAGTTCCACCTGAAAAATCAACGCAATCAGCCTCAGTCGGACAACAAAGACAGACAAACAGACAGACAGAAAGACCGTCACGAAGCAAACAACCGATTGGAGATTTACCGTTATACCATATGAAAACAAACACAAACTTATAATTTTTTACAATTAGAGCAAAACGAAACTACATTTCTTGAGGTACAAATTGAAGTCTGATTTATATAAAGTTCCTCCCCCAAAAATTAGAAATATACCGATTTATAAATTAGCGGAAATGAAGAAATGAAATCGCAGCAGCAATGGAAGCAAAATTATTTTCTCGAGCGAGCGAGCGTGGATCCGCTGAGAGGTTGAAGGATGAGAGAGCGAGAGAGAGAGAGAGAGAGTGTGTGCGCGTCAGAGCCGAAAATCAAGATGAGACGAGGAGAACAGGAGTCCTGCAATACAAATCTAATGTTATATTCTTTGTCTTAGCTATATTACTGAGTCGTTGATTTATGAGATAAGTTTTGTTTGTTTTCCTTTAGAGAGAAAGAGAGAAAAGAAAGAGAGGGAGAGAGCGAGAGATGGAGAGCAATGGAAACAATTTGCACATCGCAGACAAACGAGATACTCAGAAACAATTCCCACACACATACACACACACCCACAAACGAACACCACCCGTGCGCCAATAGTCAGATGCAGAATAGTGATTAGAGACGATTTGTTAACTTTGTTTTAAAAGAGAACAATAGATGCAACCTTTTTTGCTATACATATTTTTTTAAATTAAAAAGCAACAGGTACCAGTTATTATTTTACGATATTTATTTTTCCCTCCGCATATTTTTTTACAAATAGACAACAACCATACCCATATACAAACGTTGCAGAAAACAAAAAAAAACAATAGACAAGGAAATATAACCGAAACCCGCGCTAAAATTTAGGTAACAGAGAAAAAGATAGATAGAGAGAGAGCGTGAGAGAGAATGTAAATGCGTGAAAGAGAGAGAAAGAGTAACAGCAAAACTTATAGATTTTATTTATTTATTGAAGCAAACAAAAGAACGAAAAAAAAAGGTGAAACACTGTTGAAGCAAACCACTAAACAATAGAAAACGGACGACGAGAGAGAGAGGAACTATATTATTAAAAAAAAAACAACCGAAATGGATGAAGCCAAAATTGTGTATAGTAATCTAATTTATTTTTAATCGATATATTAGTATTAGTTTGTACGGCGTTTTTGATTTACATAGAGAAGGGGGAGGGGGCGAGGCAGTGGGGGGGACAATTGGGACTGAGAGACGCGCGGAGGTTTAGCTGGGAGTGTATGGTGGGGCACATGCCTCTGGAGACTCGCTAGATGTGAGCTATCGGAGGACTGGTATGGTGCATTGTGTCATGATCAACGACATCCGCATAATCCCTCTGGAAGGGATTGGGTTGGGAAGGAATGGGTGGTGTGAAATCATCGTGAATCGATTGGAGTTATGGCTGATGATGTTGATTTTTTTTTTGAAAATAAATTCTTTTTTCAGTGTATCGTAATTTAGACGCAGGTCTACTGAAGTAACTCATACGGCATCTGGAGTGGTCAGACATGACCTCTTGGTTATACCAATAGAAAAATTGTGAAGTTGCTCCACAAGACCTATTTTTAACTTGTTCAATAAGCCCTCTGATTTTCTTTTCCCAGAATGAGTCATTTTTTCTCCAAAATACCTGTGGACTTGTTTTACTAGGTATCTGGAAATGTTCCACGAGTCATTTATACTTGTTCCACAAGGCCTCTTACCTAGACCCATTAGGTTTTTTTCCACTGTCCCACAAGTCATATTTAACTTGTCCCATAAGGCATCTGAATACCGCAAGTCCTTTAAACTTGCTCCAAAAATCCTCGGTAGTTGTCTTACAAGGTGTTGCCCTATAATATGTTCCACAAATCCTTTAGACTTGTTTCCCAATGTGGTTGACTATATTCCACAAGTCATCTTAAGCTAGTCCCACCATACATCTGGGTATGTACCACAAGCAAAGGTGGTAACGAAAAAAATGTCACTACGAATGAAAAATGTCATGACATTTTTTCCTCCGTATAATTTCTATGACATTTACCACCTCTGACCACAAGTC